TATATAGATGTAGGTTTGCATGGTGAACGACAAGATATAAAAGATTAGGAGGATTAGTTATGAAAGATATCTATTATACACAGTGTGTATAATGGCTTTTAATAATGCATGTCTTTATTAATAACTTTAATAATTGTGTACAACAACTGCAAAAAAAGTTATTATAAATTGAATTTTGAATCTTTTTGGGCACATATTATACAAGCACAAGAGGGGTTTTATGGATTGGACCAGACTTCCTGTCTATTATCAACTTAATTACATACTAAAGTTGAAAATCAGATAAGAAAATTATGGGTTATTGACTAAAGATAACGTTTCAGATAGTGTTATTTATAATAACTACTCACTGACAACTACTTGCAAGCTGGGTTAATCAATGAACTTTCAACTCAGTATTTCAATTTTAAATCTTTTGAATACATGTCATGAAATGATTCTAAAAACTATTTACAACATTTACGACAAGGATTATATTCAATTTTCACAAGATACAAATACATGTAGAAAAAAATGATACAAATCATGATAACTGACAAAGAGATGGAAAGACAGAAAAATTGCAGAAACTTTTACAAGTCATGCATCTACTCATCTACATACATTGGGTTACTTTATGTACCAAAAACAAACAAACCACAAAGAAACAAACAGAAACAAAAAAAAAACATATTCACACTATAAGATGAAAACAAGAAAGAAACATGGACATAGCAAACATAAAATACAAAAGGACTGTGCAAGCCCAGATCGTTTATTTATTTTTGAAATTCAGATTTTTTTTTTAATCAAATCATTACTATAATTACTTTTTCATTTTAAGACCTTTTTCATTAAGGAATATGAATAATCCAAACGATAGTTAACAAAAATTCCTTTAATATCATTTTTTTTTTTTTTTTTATGGCAAAATAAATGAAGAAACAGAAACAACCATGTACATGTATGTGTTTAATAGATTTATGGTGTATGTATGTTGTAATACATAATTAGCTGTTTTGAAATTGGTCTCTTTTAACATCATCTGGTTAGCCATTCCATACACAATCAAAAATAATTTGTTCATGTTTTTCGTATGTTGAAATTGTAAGGATAAGGGATTGATTCGATTCCCGGAACGGACGTGAAAAGGTAAGGGGTCACCAGCCCGACCACGTGGGTTTTCCCCGGGTACTCCGGTGTCCTCCCACAATAAGACCCCTCGCGCGCTTACATCCGGGCCAACAAGAGTGATTATTATAAGATGAGATAACTTGTTTCGCAATTGTTGTAAAATAAATTAAGTTTATATTATATATTATTTAACACTAGGTAAAGCGAAAGTAAAACTGACAGTTCTCACCCTGATTAAAGACACGTCATCATAAATATACCCAAAGTGAACAAACATCACGTTAGCGTCACGGTTCGATCTAAGGTCTAGTTTATTGAAAGTATGAATTGACGTAAATTCTCGAACCTTATAAACCAAACGTTAGGAAAAAATGTATGGGGATTACTGACGTGCTGGTTTATCCTGTGTTTGTAAGTATAATTTGTTTAGACTATCCTACATCTAATGTAAATAATGCGTTACGTTGCATGTTCGAGATCTCTAGCTTAACAACCACACTATATGTATTAAGCAATATATATATATCTGACATTTAGTCTTGTGCAAGGTTATACGGCCTTGTCGTTTCCTATACCGGAAGTTTTATTGATTTTGTTGGTCTCTGTCTTTTCCATTTGATATCACTGGTAATCATGAGAGTTTGTGCTGATATCTTCACTTTTAACTAAAGTCACTTATCATGACTTATCATGTGTTTAGATGTCTAATAAAATGGGATCTCCCATTTTATGTTTCAATGTTAAAATATTACGCAGTTCAGTCAGTTATTTCATGGAGTGTAAGAGTCATGTAAGCATTTAGAATGATCATAATAGTTCCTTCATCTCACATTTCGTTTTTTTTTTTTTTTTTTTAAATATTACAATATTTAGAACTTTAGATGAACAATGTTTCAGTTTGTATCATACAAATACTGCTAAAGGTAAACACGCCCTCTCACGTGTAAACAGAAATAAAACCACCGGTTCATATGTTTTTTTTCTGGAAAATTAACAACAAGGAGTGACAAGTAACAACAAAAGTATTTTAATAATATTTAATACATGTTTCTGTAGGTGTATCAATATATCTTGTTTCAGTTTTTTATAGCATCAGTAGTAACATCAAACATGGAATTGAACTTGGATACGGAAACAAGTTTTACAACTTATATAAATCCATCTCTAGTTATAGAAAACGCAATCAAAATTGAAACATAAGAAGAGAAGAGAAAAAAACGAGTAATACTTATAGTATATTGTCTATAGGAGTAGAAGAGGTAGAAAGTGGGGCTGGGTTGTCTAGATATATCATAAAGCAATTTTGAAATACATTCCAAGTGAACAGATCTATAAAGCTCGCGGTGAATGAAAAACCAGGACAATCGTGTATTGAGAGAAAATAAAGAACACTCATTCAAATCTTTTCGATCTGATAATGAAATTGTAGAGTGGTGGATTTGACCCATCCTGCTACTGATATCATAGAAAGATGGTACTTGGTGGGGATTATGAAAGAGGTGTTTTTTTAGTCCAAGAATCTATGGATCCTTTTTAAAGAAGTCTGGCAAGGAATTCCAAAGTACAATTAGAGATGGCAGAAAAGATTTACGATATAAAGTCGTACGACAGGGTATTGGACGAAAATTATAGGTGTATTGGCATTGCTACTTTAAATTGAACATCTTGGATCCCAGGTCTGATTGTATTGTGAACAAAAGGATAAACCCAAAATGCAAAAGGAATTTCCATAATATCAGTTAGCAATTATCACGACTTTGTTGACATATAGATATATATACCGATATTCTGTAATTTGGTATTCAGCTCATAATGTCACAATGAAGCGCTCTCGATTATTAGCCTACCCAAAAGTAATCACTGATAACATATTTTTTTTCTGAAATGGCCTTGAACATTTCACATACACAAATTATATCACTATAGATAACAGTATTAACACCAGGTAAAACGAAAGTAAAACCGACACTTCATTGTTTCTGGGAAAACCAAATTGTTGTTTCCCTAGACAGAGCCGTCTGATCTAAGGTCCACTTCAATTGACAATGTCTATTACGTAACCATTGTAGCTGTATACAAGTTAGAATATATCTGGTGACTACTGTCCTACTGGGTTCTCCTGAGTTTGTAAGTATATACTCTTACAATATATATCTGATTGGACTTAAACATATATGATGGTACATATTCTCTTGTTTACCAACCTTAAAGTGTACCCTGAGAGGTCAGCTATGTTGACCTTAAGACATAGTTCTGCACATAAAATACACATTGCCGAAAACGCGAATGCCGTGGAATGTTCCATTACTGAGAAATTGCGACTTTTCTGAAAAACACACCTTTGGCTTTGAGGCGTTGACCTCGATGCAGCCATATTGTCTTTACTGTGCTACATGTGACTGTGATCTATTTTGGGATTTTCCGGAGTAATTTCTTTGTTAATTTACGTGAATGTACTTCACATCTTCGCAATATTCAAGGTAGTGAACGAGGAGTCGGTGGATTAGCGCTTAAATCCGTTAAAATGGCTTCCTATCGAGGAGGGAAGCACGGTGTGCAGCGGTCCCGGGAATGTTCGTACCGAAGAATTTTCGTACTACTATTATATAGTAGTACTATAGAATAGGTTATGTGTGTATAAGGTGTGTATGTTGTGTGTATAAGGCTAGGTAATAAGCGCCTCTGTGGCTTGAAAAAACAATGGCTACAAATGGTGATTAGTCTTTTACAAGTGTAAACGGTCTTGTAATAAACAATGTTGGTTGTAAATACATGTGATAATTTCTTGCATCCATCTTTATTGACGTGGTTAAGAAATTGGAAAACATATATATAGCATGCAGAAGTCATTTTGCAAAAAGTGAATAAGGGCATTGATCTAATTATTTGGACTATTCTTATTGCTGTTTTGTCGTTTTCAATGACTCCCAAATGTCTTCACAAACTGACTTTTTTGTAATCAATCGAATTTGACACTAACTATATGTGCATTTGTTAATTTGATTATGGAATCTTTTATCAAAATCATTGTTTATCAAATGTCACCATAAGAATAATTTGTTAAAGGGCATCAAATGAAGAGTTAAATGAAGTAGTGATGTTTAGTTATGAAAATATATACTATGTGTTTTATTAGAGTGGATAGATTTTAAAATATTTAACTACACTGGACAAAACTCAAGCAGGAGGACACAGGCAGAGTTGCTAATTAGTAGTTATCATAGCAAATATTTGTTTATCAATTTTAGAAATGAATGATTAGATGAAATAAACAGATAAATGAAATAAATAAATACAGAAAGTGAATAAATCTGTACATGTATAAATATTTAAAAGCTAAGCTGTAATTAAGGCAAAACATGATCTTAGAATGTTGGTTTAAAAACAGTTAGAAATCTCACTAGTTCCTACATCATTCACAATGTTGACCCCTTTGTTCAGAACTTCGGTAGTGTTGTATCGTCCAAACCTGTCATGGAAGGGACGGACAAGTAACGTTTTTCAAACTACATCTGAAACTCACACGACAGATTATTATCACTTTTTAAACAATATTATGTTCAATATTCCATAATATTACATTTAGTAGGAATGGGATTGTCACCTATCAGAAGTAGTTCTTCAGGGACAAATCTGGCCATCGATCTCAACGAAGCTGTTTTCGATTAGAAATGAGTTCATTCCTGTTTAACCATGATGAGCTAAGCTTGTATATTGGATCCTTATCACAGTTTATCAAAACATTAAAAAAGTTTTAACTGATTTTTTTAAATGGTTTATATATAGTATGTTTTCATAAAAGTTTGTGGTTATCACATTTAAATATAAGAACTGTTATATATCTATTTTCTGTATCTGCATCGCAGGTTTTTTTTAAAATCACCAGAATGGCGGAGACCAGTGTTGCAGAGGTGATGCCTGCAGGGTTCTTTAACCGTAATTTGTGCTTTCTCGATGAAGTGGATAATGCGCAGGTAGATTATAAAGCAAACGCGATATCAAGTTGATGGCAGAGGTATTTGAAGTTTATAAAGACCATAAACGATATTACTATTTTAGACATCAAACCTTGAAACAAAACTTTTTTATAAGTTTAAGTGATTTCCTTTTATCGTTGAGAATTATGAATAAAAATCTTAATTAAGTATCAAAGCATTTAAGAATATTTTTTTTCGATAACTGAATCGTTTGAGGGTCAGATCCCTTGAAACAGTATATGGGTAGCCAGAATTTATAAAAGAAATTCCTTCATAGATCAGGTGTCTTCATTGGCACAGTGATCTACACTAGCAAATTTATCTCGGAAACATTGAATACTTATTTAAATGACTCATCCATGTTTTTATTTTTTAAGATATCCTACATGAAAGGCGAACAGGGAGTGGAACTTCGAACAGCGCCTGACTGTATGAAACCTGTCATTAGGAACATTGAGGCTATTCTGACTTTTATACAGCCTTTATACAAGCGTCGTGGTTTATTTATGATGGAACAGGTAAGTCTCAGTACAGACTAAATTTAAGCTTTTAACCGAGCCTCTGTAAATCAATCAATTTTATCTTATAATCAATCTGTTCTCCTGTAAATTAGCCATGTGCCATTTTTTCATATTGTCACGTGTAATATACCCTTGAACGTTTTTCATTGGCTGCCGCAGCCATTGCATATTATAATGTAAATGTCACGTCCTTTTTTTAAACAAGATGGAACAAAATTGTTGCCTCCGTTTAGAAACCTGTCAAACTGATCCAAGGCTAGCAAAGCGAAATCTTCAATGTTTAATAATCTGCCACATCAAATGAAATTGTATTTGAGATCCGATATATATATATATCAGTTCCTACTAATCTAGTACTTTAGTTTAATGGATAGTCTAAGCTGTAATCAGGTATCATAGATAAAGTTTTGATTTTTTTTAATAGATCAAACTCATAATCGCCAATATCTCCACAAGACTTCCTTATCATTTTGATTCAATTTCTCGGTGTGGTATATCATTTTGTTGATACAAATGTAAATATTCAATGTGTATTATTTCTAGATTCATAATGAGTTTCCTGAAAACATCAACACACTTGCGAATCTTATAGAAATGAAGACAAATTTAAACATGGACATCAAAATACAAGAAGAGAAGCTCAAAACTTTACGATCAAAAGATTGCAACAGACTAGAAGAAGCCAGATGTCGTTTGGAAATCGGTTATGTTCTTATGACTGATTTACATATAGAGGCCCAGAAATCAGTGGAAGAAAAACTCATGGATGTTCATAAACATCTAGAATTGAAATCACAAATGGTGACCGGGAACCGGAGGATTATCTTTAAACATGCCTTTCAACAATGGGATGATGCCACAACGAAAATCAAACATCTCCTGACGGAAACGTGTTTACATGGTACTAAATTGGAACAGAACGAAGCTATCACATATTTTAAGCTCGGGATGGACCTGTTGGAGCCTGGAACTGAAAAGGAACTTTGGAGACACCAATTAGCTAGAACACACAGTCGTTTAGGAACGGCTGATAGGAATGTATCCAAGACGACAGAGAGGAAACATCATATGTGCTGTGCACTCAAGAACTTCCTTGAGTGCATTTCAGAAATATCAAAGGTCAATCAGAAAAATGACCCCTTGAAAGTTTACATAGCACGATCATACGCGTATGTGGGTCATTTAATTGCCACAAGACATAAGGAGATCAAAGGGCAACAAGAACCAATCCCTAGCTTCATTGAACAGAATGACGATTTTCGTTGTCTTTGGAATAACCCAATGAAAGCTTTCGAAATGGCCTACGAAAGTTTCAATCGCGACAGAGTCGTTCACAACAGACATGGATTGACATTGACAGATAGGCGTGCAACAAAAGACAAAAAAGAAAACTATGAAAAAAATGTCGATCAGGCTATCAAACATTTTAACGAATCCTTGAAGATTGAAAAAATGCACAATTGGTTTGCCTACTCTCTGTTAGCTCATGCCTACCTAGAGAAATATAGGGTTAAGAAACAACGGTTCCTGGAAGAAACCTCGCGTCAAAATAAAAAGGAACCAGAAAAAGGCGATCTTGATGACGCTATTAAAAACGGCGAGTTGTGTCTACAGCAACGCGTTACATCGCGCACGCTGTTGGACATCATTGAAGCTTTTTACTTGAAAGGCATGAAACCAAAGCAGGGGAAAGATGGCTTAGATATCATAGTAGACGAGTCTTGCATAACAGTTGCCTACGAGTATATTCAGAGAGCCTTTAATCATCATGACTGCAAAGAACATGAGAAATTAAAAGTTTTCTCCGGGAAGTGTCTCTTTCATAAAGGAGACAAAACAAATGGAATAGAGGCAATGCTGGACATTCTCACAAAACCACGAAATAGCGTCACCGAGCCTCACTATTTCAAAGAACTCATGATAATGATGCTCAACGAATTCAGGGTTTGGAAAGACAACAAAAGAAACGAAGTGAAGATTAGGCAACGGCGACAGAAATTGCGGAAAATATGGTGTGTTCTTAGCAGCGGGAAAGTAACATACACCAATCGATTGAGACACCCACTTATTGGCATTGTGAATATGTACCCTCATGAACTCATATTTATGATAAGGGAGGTATTCAGCTTTAAAAAAAGGAGCCCGAAAGATCAAGAGTTAGTCAATGAATGCTTGAATGCCTTGGAAAACCACCATGGAAAAGATGTCAATCGGCGGCTAAAAGAGTTACTTGCAGAACGGCCTGAAGAATCTGACGAAATAGATAATCACAAAGCAGAGACATCTGATCCATATCAATGTTGCATCTGCTATAGTAGAGAGGACGCAATATGGACAAAAACGTTCATTGAGGACAGAAAACTCCATTTGAACGGAAAACTTTGTTCAAGAGGTAAATCTCTATTCCTTATTTCGATATTAATGTATAAAAAAAATGTTGTAAAGTAACTTTATCCCTGCAAACACCATAATTTCCGAAATGTATGATAACAAGATCTTATCACCTGTAAGAAATAAAGATTGATTAGGTTCAAACAACAGATTCATATTTTATAAGCTTAACATAGGAATCTTACAAGTAGCTATTCACACATTTGTAGCACAAACGATTTTTTTTTTATGTTTTAATTTCTAATCTATTGACATTTGTTCAAAGCCTAGTTAACGCAGTCACATAATGGTTTACTCTATTAACATTTATTGACTCCTCGATATGACCTATCAGTACGCATATTATCTTGTTTCAGTTGATCAGTTGGAAAAAGGGGAAAACATGAAGTACCTGTTTATCATATCTGATAGCTTTAACAACGACGAGGATTGCATGGCTATGTTGAGTGCTGTGAAAGGCAAATACAAGACGAGCAACAGACTGATACCAGTTCTTATAAATAATTTTTCATCACTTCCGCTGTTACTTGAAGATGTACATCCGGTCGATTGCACCGGATTGAGAAACTCGGCGTATAAGAATTTGGAAGCAGCTCTTATCCAGCAAGTAAATGATAATAATGTTCAAACGGCTAAGGTCACTCCTAATCCTACGGTTATAGATGTTCCGCGAGCTGAACTCACTCCCGATCCGATGGTTATAGACGTTCCAGGAGCTGAAGTCACTCCTGATCCGACGGTAAAAAACGTTCCTGGGGCTGAAGAGGGTACAGCCAGTAGCGACTCGGAAAGTATTGAAGTCGAGGAATCTGAGTCAAAAGCCCTCAAACGGAGAAAGAAAGACGACCAGACTGAGGAGCAAGCTCCAAATGAAGAACCATCGATGGAGGCCCAGGAACAAGCAGAAAGCGAGATAGCAACGAATGGAACGGAAAGCAAACCATCGATGTGGGAACTTGTACAATCAGAAAATAATGAATTGGACTCTGGATTCGACAGTCAAAATGCCTAGAGGTAACAAAACGTAGAGTTTTCAGGAAAGTCACGTTACTTGCAAGCAAATGGTACGTAGTAAATGCTTAATGTATAACACTCTTCCGAGATATTTGATCTCCGGACAGTAATTCTAAACGAAAGATTCAACCCACAGTAAGACCCGCGCGTGCTTCCATCAGGACCAACAAGAGCGATCGATAAAGATGAAAGCTTGTTTCCAAATATTTGTAAAATAAATAAAGTTCATAATTGTATTTAAACGTGGTGAGAGGAAGCTCAATTACCACATGGAGGTTTAAAAAGGCTTGGTAAAGCTGAGATGTATATAAATACATGTTTTCGTTTTAGGACAAAACGACAAATACTTCTCCATATACAGCTCGATTCCACAGTATATAAACTTTCCAGAAACTTCAAAAGTAGCTTCATCTGTGGTGTGTTATACTGCATAGTGTAATAAAAAATGGTCGATTTGGATTTTCCTCGATTTAAATGTCACTAGAGGTTGAAATTGGTAGACTTAGTGTCCATTGATACAATGGCTGCTTACAGGAATAATTCAGGTAACGAGCTTTTTTGTTTTCTCTGTTGTTTGTTGTAAGGCGATATTTCAATCTTATACAACAATTTGTTAAATACGATGACTTTAATTATATATAAAACTATCGCATTAAACATAAGGGAGAGTTGATATTCTTTCTGGGAACACATGAGTAGATCCCTCATAGAAACAAGTCGATGTCCATACTGGGAACATACGAGTAGATCCCTCATAGAAACAAGTCGATGTCCATACTGGGAACATATGAGTAGATCCCTCATAGAAACAAGTCGATGTCCATACTGGGAACATATGAGTAGATCCCTCATAGAAACAAGTCGATGTCCATACTGGGAACATATGAGTAGATCCCTCATAGAAACAAGTCGATGTTCATCGCCCAGTCAATTATAAACGTTACTAAAAAATGGCAAAGCTCAAACTAATTGCAAATTGCATTAGTTTTTTAATGTGCATTGTAACTGGTACAATTCTGCAAAAAGTTGGAAAAGAAATAGTTTATGTACTTAATACTTTGTCTATTAAAATTTTACCATGTGTGAAACGATATAGCATGTCTAGAAGAGCTTTTGTCATTATCTTCGAATCATTTACATGTTGCAGTAAGTGATCATTGGTATGCTGTTAAACCTGTTTTGTGTGGCTTTTTATTGTAATTTACTGAAAACGAATCCCGCTGGCTTTCTAGCTATTCCTAAGATGTCTATTTGAAGATAAATTAATACTTCAATACTTTCTTCTGCAAACAAACCTGTCATTTGCAGTGACAAGATTTATTTTATCAACACATCCTTATTTTGATGCTAACCAACCGGTGATCTTGTTCCAAGTGCAGTAGCCAGTGGGAAGAAATCTATTGCAGTCAGTCTTGCAAATTTATCGTCATTGTGATTTTTATCATCAGATGTCTTGTCAAATAAAGTTGTAGTTAAACAGGACTCAGCCAATTTTGTTCCTTTGCAAATAAAGAAATAATGAAAGTTATGTTATCCAAAACTTTATTTTACAGCTGAAAGATTACTTTTTCAATATCTTTGGGAGAAGGAAACATGGACAAAAATTTATATTTTCATGCAAGCGCAAGGAAACCCTAAGCAGATACTGTGAAATCATTTATTTCCTTAGATTATTAATTTTTGTTCATGTCGTGAGTATACATACTCTTGGTGTCAACAAAATCAAGTCCACAAAATGAAAATATTAGTGTTAGCAGATTAATTGAAGTATAATCATACAGGAATCAAGTGGCCAATAGATAGCATGTTTTGGAAAAACCACAAAAACCACGAAAATTGGGTCGCACAAAAATATCTGATTTTACAGCATTTCCAATATGCAGTATCCCAACATAATGTATGGTTGGTAATATTTGCAGGATATTTAATTTCAAGATATTCATGGCAATAAAGATAGTGCCTAATCAAATACCCAGTGAACATTTCTACAGCAATGAATATTTCAGACATCTGTTATGCCTGTATATATGGACATCAGTTCAAAGATTATGTGCGATAGTGACATTCTTTGTACTAAGTCAAAAAAGAAGAAAAAAACATCATTATCATCAACAATTTACTTTTTATTATCAAGTGCATCACATAGAGTTTCTCTATATATATATTCCAAAAGAGGTATTAATTTAACAAACAATCGACAAATCTTATCTGAAAATGGAATCAAGGTAAAGTTTTAGAGACAAGTACAACATAAAAATATTTCATAATCAAATGATGAAAATATTTGTTTCTTTGCTTTAAATAACACATGATAGATTCATTCGATTTTTTTTTTATTTGTAAACTTTAATATACCAAATATACAAGTACAAATATCAAATTTTGAAATTTCCATTTACTCCAAGTTACAAGTGATTGATATTGAGATTCCAAATTTGTACACTTTGAAAGGAAAAAAAAAGAAAAAAACTCTGAATTGGAAAATATCTATCATTTCAAACTTCCCAAGCTGTCAAAGTCACAAGTATACAATTTCAAAAACTGTTCAAATACAAAAATCAATATTGAAAGTCCTAACTCTGTTTTGTCTGTCAGTGGTCCCCCTCTTTAGCTTTAGAATTGTTCTCTTCTTTCTGCACTGGCATTTCCAAAGATGCCCAGCTACAACTCTCAGCCTTTCGTAAATTAATCTCCACTTTTGTTCCTAGCAATTTGACATCACTCTTTGAAGGATCTATCACCTGTAGGAAAAAAATATTGAATATTTGTTTAATGTCTAAAATATCTGTATTTATTTACTGTCTTTGCCAGTACCTTGTTTTTAATACCTTTTTACCCTAACACCTGCAGAGGATCACATATATTTCTAACTGAATCCAGTAAATGCCCGTGAGATGAACAACTGATACATGTAAATCATCATTGTAGGATGAATTCGCAAAAGTTTATGCAATCTTTGACCTTTCAACCGTGACCAATGATAACCATAATTTTGAATGGGATGAGAGACACCGCACAACAGAAACAGATTACAGAAAATTCAACTTGATACCTTGTGCACATCTGTAAATGCACCAATGGTAGAAAACCTTATTCCTGTATCAATATCCTAATTTTCACCATCTTTAAAATTAGCAGAGTGCAACATTTCCAAATCTGATTACTGTGGCTGCATTTTAGTAATTTTACAACTTACAAACCGTGAAGCAGCTCAGATTAGAAAGATAGTGATACTCATGATCTCTACAGAAATGCCAAAAGACAGACAAAACATTGAAACACCTTCAAAGCATTCTGGTTCACACACTGTTAATATTCATACTTTTCATGCAGAAAGTATTGCACTGAAATATGATTGCTAAAAGTGTTGCACTGAAATATGATTGCTGAAAGTATTGAACTGAAATATGATTGCTGAAAGTATTGAACTGAAATATGAAAGCAATGCACTGAAATATGATTGTTGGGAATATTGCACTAAAATATGATTGCATTAATTTTTTCTGCTAGATATTGTTAAAAAATTTGAATTTTTACTGATGCACAAATTCATAAATGTGCTAATTTGCAAAAAAGTGACACTGCACTAGAATTTGATTGATATAAAACAAATTTAGAGCACTTAAATTCAAGGCTTCACAGCTCCTCCTTTGTTGATAGCCATAAATATTTACCTCTCTTAATTCTATCTGTTTTTCAAAAATGCTTTTTCCTCCATCAAATGTAATGTGGATACTACATGAGACTTGATTAGCTTCAATGAGACATTTATCAGGCATGGCAACTTTTGCGAACACTGATAGAGTGACTGTGGAGGGTGTCTGGTGCCAATCTGTCCGACATCCGACTTTCTGTTTGTCTGACTGTAATACAGATTTTAGTATTAGAGTTATTCATAATGTTTTCATGATTCCAAGATTACAAAACCAGTCATGTAAAAGTGATGGGATCACACAGCTTTCTCATGTGCTCAAATCATATTACAACCAATATGTAGAATTTACAACTCACCAAAAGTGTACAAGTCTTGTAGGATATCAATTAACATGTTCTCAGATAAAAAAGAAAATCTTCACACTTTACATCATTAAGCCCACAACAATTGTTTTATGTGGTCACACAATGTTGAGACTGATTTTATAGGTTGTGCTGGAGTTATCTATGATAGCATTAAAAATCTTGTAGCTTTATCATAATAATCATTTTTTGCCTTGTTTAGCCAAATTCTAAACTTATCTTTTTTTAATTGTAAGAAGACAAATCTTTTGGAACATTTTCTTTGAATTGGTAAAATCCATAGTATATAAGTTCTTATAACAAAACTAAAGGAGATTTTATTGCGACATTTCAATGACTATACAGCCACCTTCATCAATCAAATGACCAGTGTGAAGTGTACTAGCGATATATGTAGTGTACCAGATCTCATCACACTAGTTTTTACCTAAGTGTACATCGGATTATAGTACAGCTGCAAAAACTGATTAATATCATCCCATCTTGTACATTTTATATGCTGGTGCTAGTCCAATAATGTAGTCATCGAAACGTCAACCTTAAATCTTCTACCGGTTGTGTTGTAAGAAATTCTATTCTACGGCAAATCCTTATATTTATGATATATCATTTTGAAAATATTTTTGTGAGATCCAACCCAGTTGGAGGTGGTGAGACACGGTATCAAAATCATTGATCATAATTAGAATCATTAATAACACAATGACAGGAGTCAACTAACCTCTGGTTTGATCCACAAATGAGTTCCTGTCTCGCATCCTTCCTGGTCTAAAAAAGTGTCAAAATCTGATGTTTTCCTCTGGCAACATGACCAATACTTCATCCTTCATTCAAATAAAAGACAACACCTGTAACTTATAGATATTCAAGGAAAAACAAATATTTCCTGTTTCTTAAGTGACCATAACTTCTTTCTGTCTACATGTTTTTGGCATTTTTCCCAGATACACTGTTAAAATCATAAACCCGCTTATATATAACCTTCATAACAATTCTTATAAACAAGTACATTGAGTATTTCTGAAGCAAAACAAGTCCCCTACCTCCCCCTAAAAGCTATATTACAATGTAATGATTGATAACTTTTCTAAAGAAAGTAACAGTGACATTGACCTTGACCAAACAACCCTGAAACTTGTCAAAAACAACTTGATGCTTTGAAAGTGTGTGGGGTTTGATGAGAATCCTTCAAGAAATTAAGCACTGGAACACTGACAACGATTTTCTAATAATTCTATTTCAAGACATTGTCTCATTGTACATGTTTTTACAGGTGGTGGCTTCCTCACTAAATAACATACCTCCCGATCCAGCCCCTTTGCATGTAATCCTAAACAACTAGACTTTAAAGCCCTGCCCAAGGTCCCAACCACTACAACACAGCATGGTTAAATTCTTAGATTCCTGAGAAATAAAAACTGCCCTGATTAGAAAGTGTTGAACCTTGTACCTCCCATCTTCATATGAGGTTACAAAGTTCGATACTCTACCAATAAATTACAATCCCTTGGCATTATGCTATAAGATATCACACTTAAACATCATGGGTGTCATTGATTATCAGCTGGTGATCTTTAGGAAATGCCACCATATAGAGAATTGCTACCCTAAATCACAACAAGAATATAATTTCTTTGTTCTGAAGTAGAGAAGTTCACATCAGGCTCTTCAAAACAAAATATGCTAAAGTCACTGAGCAGATGAAATGCCAAAATATCTCAGATTTAATAAATGAATAAAAATTTTCAGTCAATCATGATTTACTACATCAACAAGCAAATTCATGGAATTTATATCCCCCGCTTTCCAAACATATTGTAAGTAAATATTCTAGAGGTTAGGAGTAAACATGTCATAATGTTATGTAGAATGATATATTCTCTTGAGCTATGATGTATTGCTTTAAAGCCAGATAAAGGTGTAAAGGATTATAGAGTAGATGACACTGATAGTCAAACCCAGTCTTGATGAGCCCAAGATGCATCTGCTGATTAAGTTTCACCCAAATTGGATGATATTTGGGGAAGTTAGAATATGGAAACAAAGGTGTGACAGACATACAGACCGACGGACGGACGGACAAACCCAAATCAATATCCCCCTAATAAATGAAATCAATGAAATGGAATTAAAATAATATTACTGGTCCACAAATGGTATAAAACGTTCATTTTGATCATCACTTCAAGGAGCATCCTTCTCACCTTTGCCTCAATTTCAAATAACAATGATGACATAATTATTGTAGCATTGACTCTTGAACTTATGACCTGAAAACAATTCCTCATGAAGTGTTTTCTCCCTGGTTTAGTACACAGATTTATTAGAAATGTTGATGTTGCTCAGTGTGTAACATACCCTTCATGGAATACAGGTTCCCCAGGATGATATTGGCATTTTCCTTTATTACTATCTTCACCGTTGTAACACTGGAAATCAAAATTTGAAGATTATGATCCAACAATTCATTGTAAATGTGAGTTGTACACTACAGAGATATAGTGACACTTGTTTCGAGGATTAGGCTAAAGTATTTAGTACCATACATATATATAGTACAAATTATTATGAAGATCTTGAACCATTTTTATTCTTAATACTATTTTCATAGTTTTCGCTAGCTGTACATAAAATTTAAACATGGAATTCGGGCAATCTGATTAAAATACAGATCTTGATTACTTCATTTGATTGGAAATTTGGGAAGGCAGAATTGTCATGAAAACTCCTATGTAATTTATACTTGTCAATATTATCTTCTAGACACATGACATTCACATGTACATAAATGTATACCTTGTACATTATGATACCTGCTAACCTGATATACAGGAAGTTTGACCAAAAACTTTCTTTCTGATTTTTGAACAAAGTAATTACTGATGAATTAAAGACTGGATCTTGATATGATGTTTACATTGTGTTGAAATATATCAATTGTGTGAAGCAATACATCTATGATACTTACACCTTTACAAGCATTTCGTTTACAAGATGTTCCTATTTTCACTTCCTCCGATTTCCCATCAGTGTCTGAAATAAATGAAAGGCTGGATAAAGAGTTTTCCTCAAAACATTAGAGTCTTACAATGTAGAGAGGATATCTTTAATATTTTTTAAAAACCTTCAAGCTCATGGCCTAGAATTATTGATAAGCACTTGTACACAGTTAGTGTTGCAATACAAATTTGGAACTTGTTGTGTGCGAATTTCAGGTTTTACTTCCTAAATTCAGACCAACATCAATAACAATACCTTTCATTGGGTAATATTAATCAGTCTCCAAATGGAAAATTATTTTGAATACTATTGATACTATCAAGATTCACATTAAAATCACAGTCCTGTATATATTCACCTGCATTTAGCTGCATCAGGCTTAGTTCTTTGAGTTTCTTATCCAGTGCCGTTCGAAGAGATGCTCCTATAACTTGTTTGAGTTTCTGTTTAGGTTCATTTGAGGATGGTCTATCATTTGGATCCTTTGGTTTCAATGGTTGAGGAGGTGGCTTACATACTATCACCTTCATCAAATAATGCAATAAAACTGACAAGGGAGACAACACATGTTAAAAATTTAACACAGGAAACATGGATAAATGTCTTCAGTATCTAATTATGTACATTGTATTATATAATCAGGTTTAGTGAGTAGTTTAAATACATACAAAAATATCAAAAGGTAATAAAAACAAAAACAAAAAATCACTGACACCTGCCTAGGAATTCAGTTAAATACAAATAAAAGCAGACTATTGGACATTACTAATATGTACCTCATTGTTAGCTTTCGGTGGTTTTTCTGCCTCTGGAGGTTTCACTTCGTTATGTTTCCCCATTGTACAACCCTGCAGTTAATCAAAAGTGATAAAGAAAAAAATATGTATTTAATGGAAAAAATGTTATATGACATTATCGATGATCACAAGACAAAGAAATAGACATATAAAAACAAATACATGTAATATTACTGGTATATTGTAACTTCAAGACATATTTGTTCGCTGCAAGCTGGCATGATGCCAGTTGAAAAGACATATTTTGTTTTTTGTTATTTTCATATAGAATATTTTTTCGCTGTCATTATGTATACTTTATGTATAAGTTTCATGTCTGTTTTATGAAGTTTAAAGAAGAAAAAAAAATTCTCTATGGTTCTGAAAAAGAATAACACCCATATTTATGCAAAAATGTATTTGATACAATGATATGGTATTGCCATATTCAATCCAGTGTAAAATATACCTACAACATTTATTATAATCACTTTATTAAAATCATTTCAATGGCTCAAGCTTATTTCATTGATAAATCACAAGCAATTCTTTGAAAAATAAATGCTTATCCTAACACAATGTACTTGTGAATCATAAGGATATATTCTGAATTGGTGCAAACTAAAAAAATTCACATACAGGAATGCTGAGAAATTCTGAGAAATCGGTGCTACGTTTCTTACAGCAGGACCAACCCTTCAAGGCATCATGGAATATAGGTCCTCCTGGATGGAACTGGCAGACTCCTGTAATACAATCAATAAAGCATTGTAATCTAGCAACCAAGTGTAAAAGTTACTTAGTAGCTGAACTCAATAATTTGGCCAAACAAAAAAAAGTTTCCTGTTTCAAGTAACCCAAACTATCTACTCTATTATTTTGAGCATACATATACCAAAAGTATTTAAGACAATTTATACATTATCAGGGCTCTCGATCTGCCAGATTTGGGGCCGATATTCGGCCCCGTTCCCAATGCAAAATAGTATCTTTTTTTCCCAATTTAGACCCCAAGTTTTCCCAATTCTAAGGAAAACACCATTAATCTTCCCAATAAAGGGCCCCGGGCCCCAGTCCCAAAATGGGGTATGAGAGCCGTGATTATAGTCAATGGAGAACAAAGTCAGTGATAAAAATTGTCATTATCAAGTTCGATAACCCATGCAATTATTTACATTGTCACAATGGCTTTCGGATCATATAAAAAGATGACGCCTTTTTTGCTGCAATTTTTCAATGAGATTTTCGTTTTTTTAATCGTTATTTCAAAATGACTCTTTATTTGATTAAACGGATTACTCAAAGCAGTAAATATCCCTCAAAAGGAGTACTACTCATAATAAGAGGTTATGTCCAACCCGATAAAACAATATTAACTCATAAACTCTGTCTGCAGGTAAATCTGATCATTTGCTAAAGATCTTGAACACATAATAAAAATAGCACAATTCTTATTCACTGATTTGATATACACAGGATAATATATATCTCAGTCCATCATGTTGGTTACAGATTACACTTCGCATCTTGAGTTTCACTCAATTTCACACCAACCAATATCCGATATATATAAATTACCATCATCGTTCGCCTGAAGGTCAAATCGTTTCCCACATCCCTTGTTGTAGCAAAAAACCAAGCCGTCTACTGCCATGTTTACTCCACATGTATTTTTTAGGAAATTTCCAGAAACTATTTCTGACAGTACCACTGTTTTTATCTCCAACATAGAAGAGGGCGAAATACACGGAAGTTTATATCGCATATGTAAAAATAGACTTAAAGTCGGTAGAAATATCCGGAACTCTTATGAATTAAAATTAATATTGTAGTTGTTGTCTCTTTATGCATGCTGTCAGATGTAGTCAGAAGTATCCGTGTTTCTTTACACAGCCTTCAAATGTATTTTTAAAGAACCCTTTATAGAAAACCCCTTTATAGAAAACTTTTCACCAAAATATTTTACAACACTTGATATATACATCTAGATTAAAAAATGTGTTCGTGTATCATATCGTTTTCATTCAGTTTTCTAACAAAATCCATTTAAACTATTGCTTGAAACATGTCACGGGGTCAATTTTCTGTAACTTATTTACATAGGCTTTCAAAGTGTGGTTAATAAGCGGTAGGGGTCAAGGATTTGACGTTAGATGTGTAATCAGGTTTTATATGAAAAAAAACCCTGCTAACACTGAAGAGATAACGGAGGAGTTAAACGAGAGAAAGCGAAGAGTAAACAATATTGTTTTATTCGGCATTCCTGAACAACAACACGAAAATGTAGGAGAAAGAAAGAAGCTTGATACGAAACACGCAAAAGAAATTATTGGGGCTTGTTGCTACTTTCCTGATGGAATGTTTAAAAAGGTGATCAGGATTGGGAACAGACCAGAGGGAGAAGAGCTGCGGAATAGGCCTATCGTGATATCGCTTGATGATATGGAAAACAAACGGAAGATATTAGGGAGTAAAAGAAAATTAAAAGACCATCCCGATTTCTCTAAGATCCGAATAAGAAATGATCTTACTGTTGTCCAGAGAACAAGAGAGAAGGAACTAAGAGCAGAAGCCATCGAGAAAGAAAGCGAAGAAACAGAAGACTTTGTTTACCGGGTCCGTGGGCCTCCATGGAAACGGAGAGTAGTCAAGCTACAGACAATCAATATTTAACAATCGGGAATAGGATGAATGCATTGATTATTTTTGTAGGGATCACAGGATTTGTGTGAGTTGGACTAATGAAGATCGAGTTATGTTTAAATCGAAAAACTGACCAATTCTAAAACTATAATGTAGATATGGATATAGAGGCATTGAAATGCTACATCATAGACTTGGGAAATGTTCCCGTTTTAAATATGACTGACCGAAATGTTTTTGTCGTGTGAGTTAAAATGTCGCAATCCACAGGTCTGTTGCTTGATATAGATGTAAAACGTGAATATTATGACTTAGTTTTAAAAACGAAATTATAGCAAAATCATCACTTGCTACATATTCATTTTGAAGTGTACACGTCTTTGCTAAATCGCAAATCGTAATTTCCTGTTGAAAACGTTTACCGAATCCAACTCGCCCGTCACGTTACTTTGCTAATCACGTGACTACATTGTTCTACATCACGTGAGTTTTCGTGGCGCTTAGTTACGAAGTTTTGCTGAACAGAGAAACATGCGGTTTTTTGTTACTCGAAATGGATAGACAACAATATTTACTAGAAGTTCCCAGTATCTTGTCCTTTTCGGACGGTAAGTGGCGAATTATCATTTTAACAATATGTAAGATCGGAAATAAGATATAAGATAGGATGAGCTGTCATATTAAGCTATTCAGCACTGCATTTGGAAGTGGAATATGACATTAGCAATGAAACTAAATGAGAACATTAGTAACAGCGTCAGAACGCTGTTAAATGTCATCACCTGGTTGAGTGTACATCTATACATGTAGGCCAATATTATTGTTTTTGTTAAAGCCGAACGTACCTTAAAGTTTTGTGAATCGATAAACACTGCATACACCAACTTCGATATATTCTGCAATCTTTACTCTTGTTGGAATCATTTTCAACAATATTTGTTCGTCTGAACACCGTCCTCTCATATATCAGTATTGGTTTTATATTCAGCTGTGAACACATCGTAATTGATTGTTACTTAATTCCTACACCTCCCCATAGCCTTTATTCTTATACAAGTCCAGGCTATTGAAAATTGCAGAATCTGCCATCAAATCTAAGTGAAGCCATCAAATTAAAATGGTTCACAAATCCAGAACCTGTGTGTTTAGAAAAAAAAACCCCCCCCCCCCCCCCCCACACACACACACACTTTTTTTTTTTTTTAATTTTAAATCAACATCTTGTTTTATATACATTTTTTACACATTGGTTCCTTCAATTTTTATAATATGTTATTTTTCTTGTATCTCTAAAACTCCTAAAACCACGCCCTTGTGATTCACAGTATTCACTCATCGATAAACTCATCTGAAAAAGAAATTATTTCAGCAATATTTATATCTTTGTATTCTATTACATTTTTCTGTTTCCAGATACTGTGAAGATTGTGAGAAATGAAATTGGTTACACACAGGTAAATACAAGTACTGTATTACTTTTTCAAGTTGTCATTTTTTTTATATCTCTATAATAATGGTCATTATATTTGCTATACTTTCATTCTGTATGCCTCAAGTTTCATCTTCTGATAAGTCTTTTCTTTTTAAATTGTAGTCTAACATCCCTACCCCAGAATTCAAGATGGATTTAAGGAAAATCTGTGGCAAACTCAACGAATGTTGTAAGTTATTAAAACAAGTTCTTAGTTTAATTAATGTACATGAACAAATGTATTCTCAATCTTCTGAACTCAAAAAAGGAAATGTCATGCTGGTCAGAGAATACTGATACACTAGTTTAAATATTGCTGAATGTAATGAAACAGTAAATTATACGTAAACATATGCTTTTCAATCAGTGCACGGGAAATTTAGATAACTATATTGTTAATCCATTAAATATTACTAAAGAAAACAATATGGAGTTTTGGATTTAGGATTTTGACGATTTTTTTACTTTTTTTTTAAAAAATTAAATTCGTTATTTTCTCCTGAATCTTTTCTCATTTACTTTGTGTAGTAAATATTTTTTATATTTCGTGTTTCAATATGAACTGTATCAATGTTTTATTTTATCTGTGTAGTGTATGGTGATTACAGAAGAGAAATTGATATTTTCAAGGTAAGACAGTTTTGTATATCAATACTACCTTGCCACTACTATTAAGTACTGGTTGATATAAAGTACGTCTTGAAAGCTAAAATAGGCCCCGTCATGCAACAACTAATCATAAAAAGATAAATGATCAAAGAAATTTACATTGTAGCCAGGAACACAGAAACCTGGGAATAATTTACTTTGTGTATATGGGTCTATCTTATTTGGTACATTGTAAAGTCTATCGTTAGTTTGCTTTTATTTCAATATTTTCCCACTCTTCGTGGGGTATATGAATATATCGTTTTTCTTAGGGTGGTTGCATGACACAGTGGTAATGCATTCACATTTCACGTAGGCATTCAGGGTTCAATTCCTGGAATGGATGTGAAAATATTTGTACATTGTAAAGTCTATCGTTAGTTTGCTTTTATTTCAATATTTCCCCACTCTTCTTGACTACCACCATATGTGCATGCTTGACAAGTTATTTTATTTTGTTCTAGACTAACGCGCAAATTGACATTGAAATAGCAACATTATTGGAGGCAGAGAAGGAGGTTAAACAGTCTAGGCGAAGTAAGTTTAGATTTTATCAAAAAAAATACCTATATCTGATCTCATTTTCAATCTCAAGTAACTTTGAAAATATATTTAGCCCCTATGGGTTGACTTCTATTGATTTCTGACGCATATCTTCTGAACTAAGTTGAGCACAAGGGCCACATTACCTAAAATGTCAGAAATAAGCTAAATGAAAATTTAGCTTTGTACTTAAAATTCAAAAGCCACAAATTACATGGAAATGCAATTGGTTCTTATGAACCACATACTCATTTTCTCCTTTTTCATATATTTGGAGGTTTTGTTGTTCATAAAAGTTTATTTTGTCATTCATTCATTTTTAGATCTTAGAAGAGAAGTACAAATTATTTGCCCAGTAAGTACATAATTATATTATCCCTCAACTCTCAAAATGAAATTAATTGTGAAATACCAGATACAAAATAAAAATTGAAGAATACAAAATTAAGTCTCTTTGAAGATATGATTTTCTAGTACAGAGAACAAGGAAGATATGTTTCTCTCCCAATAACGGTACCATAATAGAACTGAGGACACAAAGAAGCTAATTGATTTATTTTTCTGTTTTGATTTTTATCTTTTAATTTCATTTCTAGTCAAATGGCCCCACCAAGGAAGAAGAACTTGAATTGAAGGAGTTGAAAAAAATATCTGATCTAAAGATGTATGGTAAGGTTACTGTATTGGAAAACAAACAATATCATGATGAAGCACATTTGTTAGTGTTGAATTCAAATTCTGAATTGCAAGTGTTCTTTAAAGATTAATTTAAAAAAAAATAATGAAATTGTATTGAAATGAAATGATATGTTGAATGTTTTTTCTTTGAAATATGATCTCTTCATGTTTTGTTTATGATTTTTTTTCTCTCTTTTTATCCAGAATTAGAGGATTTTAAGCGGGATTTTGATACTAAGGTAACATCTAATAACTGACATTTATCCGTAGAATTTAATGTGCATGCGCAACAAAAAATGAGACTATTCATGAATATTCAGAAAAATAAATAATATACCTTGGAAATTTGTATTTCTAATATTGATGTATAGTTAATACATCATCTTATTATGATGACAGTATAATTCAGAACTTTTATTGAATATTAAGAAAAATAAACAATACATCCTGGAAATTTGTTGAGAGAATTTGTGTTCCTTATATTGATGTATAGTTAATACATTATCTTATTACGATCATATCACAATTCAGAATTTTCATTTTCAGCCATTCGTTGCTATCGAAATGACAGATTGGAGTCTTGCGAAGATTGAAGATGGTATCCGAAATAGACAACTTGGTAAGTTTTTGTCTTCGGTCTCTTATCCACTCTATAAATGAGTTGTGGGGTTAGCTCCCCTGGTGAATATTTACTAT